CAAAAAGTCTTTGAAATCACAAGACCTAACGTTTGATATCAAGAAAAAGGGACCGACTCCTCAAATAAGGGGCTCAGAGGGGCCATTTTGCTTTAACTCTTTAATGATCAATATTTTGTGATGCATTACAGAAGCAAAGATGTTCATATTAATGATTTGCAACAATATATGATACAATTTTGATCATATGTTTCGTAATTAGGGGTCACAAGGGGCCAGAATGTCAAATCTTTGACGCTTCATATCTCGAAAATGTTGAATAATTTGATAAACAATATTGAACAAAAGATGGCTAGATTAATGTGCTAAATAATATGCATACTTTGAATTTTTGTAAAACGGCCCCATTAAGGACTTGTAGGAGTGGCCCCTAAATATTTATATAAAGCATATCTCCTAAACGAAAAGAAATCTTTGAATAGGTGTAGAACAAAAAGTCTTTGAAATCACAAGACCTTTCGTTTGACATCAATAAAAAGGGGCCAACTCCTCAAATAAGGGGTAGAGGGGCGATCTTTAACTGTTTCATGATTAATATTTTGTGATGCATTACAGAAGCAAAGATGTTCATATTAACGATTTGCAACAATATATGATAAAATTTTGATCATATGTTACGTAATTAGGGGTCACAAGGGGCCAGAATGTCAAATCTTTGACGCTTCATTCCTCGAAAAGGGTGAATATTTTGATAAGCAATATTGAACAAAAGATGGCTAGATTATATGCTTAACAATATGCATACTTTGAATTTTTGTAAAACGGCCCCATTAAGGACTTGTAGGAGTGGCCCCTAAATATTGTATTAAGCATATCTCCTAAATGAAACAAATCTCTGAATAGGTGTAGAACAAAAAGTCTTTGAAATCACAAGACCTTTCGTTTGACATCAAAAAGGGGCCAACTCCTCAAATTAGGGGCTGCGAGGGGCCAAATCTTTCATCTTAAACTCTTTAATGATCAAAATTTAAAGATGTATTTTAGAAGCAAGATGTTCATATTAACGATTTGCAACGATAAATTATAAAATTTTGATCATATGTAACGTAATTTGGGGTCACAAGGTGCCAGAATGTCAAATCTTTGACGCTTGATATCTCGAAAAGGGGAAAAATTTTGATAAGTAATATTGAAGAAAGGATGGTGAGAAAAATGTTTTAAACAATATGCATACTTTGAATTTTGGTAAACAGGCCCCATTAGGGACTTGAAGGGGTGGCCCCTAAATATTTATATTAAGCATTTCTCCTAAACGAAAAGAAATCTCTAAACAAGTGTATAACAAAAAGTCTTCGAAATCACAAGACCTAACGTTTGATATCAAGAAAAAGGGGCCGTCTCATCAAATTAGGGGCTCAGAGGGGCCAGAAGTCTTTAACTCTTAAATGATCCTATTTTGTAATAAGTATACATTTTGAGAAGCAAAGATACTCATTTTAACGATATGCAACAATATGTTATAATACTTTGATCATATGTTATGTAATAAGGGATCGCCAGGGGCCAAAATGCTATATTTTTTATGCTTTAACTCTCGAAAAGGGGGAGTAATTTTATAAGCAATATTGAACAAAAGATGTTCAGAATATTGAAAAAAACAGAAACTTTAAATTGAATGAAGAAAAACTTAATGTCATTCTCTTTTAACGAATATCTCAGTCAAAATCACATCTCATCTTATCTAGAAATTTAACGGAAGACCTACTCGTTGCTCGCAACGAGATCTCATCTAGTTATTATGTTCCCCAAACGAAGTTGGGGAACATATTGTTTTTACTCTGTTTCTTATTATTATTATTATTTTTTTCTTCTTCTTCTTCCTGGGTACTTTTTTGTCCGGGAATGATCTTGTAAACTGTTCGTCCGATGTAGGTAAAACCTTTTTAGGGTTAGTAGACATGTTATGTAGATTTGCGGAATCAAGGTCATTTTGCGCGCACGTGCTTGCAAGAGCGTGCACGTGCAACACGTGAAATGACCAATATAATAGATATAGCCACAACTTTTCTATTTTTAGATGAAATGCTTTGAAACTCATAATGTGAGGATATATTAGTAGTATAGACAATGACAACATGGTGAAAATATATATCTCACGCGCATGCACGTGCACTTTTGCTCTGATTGGCTGCAACTAAAGTCTCAATATCTTTCTTGTTTTTTGACGAAATCCTTTGAAATTTCGAACATAGCCATGTATTAGGATATCCTACAACATGAAATATAGCAATTATCATGAAAACACGTGCATGCACGTGCGTTGCAATCTGATTGGCTGAAACTTTAAACAGTTATAACTCCCTTGGTTTTCAACCAAACAGGATGGGATTTGGAACATATAGATATGATGGACTTCTACAAGTAAGTATGGTCAATGCACATGCATACACGTGCGTGTACATGTGCTGCAATCTGATTGGCTGAAACTTTAAACAGTTGTGACTCCCTTAGTTTTCACCCAAACGGGGTGGAATTTAGAACATAGATAGATGTAATGGACTTTTACAAGAAGGTTTGGTCACCATGCTCATGTATGCACGTGCGTGCACGTGAAATGAGTAAAATCAAACATATTACTTGAATGAGCGTATTTTTTTAATAATTTTGGATTAAATACTTTAATATTCAGTGTATTAAAAATATAGATTGTGTAGACAAGATGATATGGTCATGACGCAAATGCATTCTCATGTGCACGCGTGCAATGCTAAAGTTTAATGATTTTTGTACACTTCTTTGTAAATGTTGTTAAAATCTCAGATGCATATTTGTCCTATTTAATGAAGCTTACAGGGAATATGGCACCAAAAGGGAGTTGGGGAGCATTTGGGGAACATCTGTAACGGTCCCGTTACAATTAGCACTAGTTATTATTATTTTTCTTCTTCTTCCTGGGTACTTTTTTGTCCGGGAATGATCTTGTAAACTGTTCGTCCGATGTAGGTAAAACCTTTTTACGGTCAGTAGACATGTTATGTAGATTTGCGGAATCAAGGTCATTTTGCGCGCACGTGCTTGCAAGAGCGCACACGTGCAACACGTGAAATGACCAATATAATAGATAGAGCCGCAACTTTTCTTTTTTTTTTTGATGAAATGCTTTGAAACTCATAATGTGAGGATATATTAGTAGTACAGATATGGTGACATGGTCAAAATTGCAAGATCTCACGCGCATGCACGTGCGCTTCGCTCTGATTGGCTGACACTAAAGTCTCAATATCTTTCTTGTTTTTTGACGAAATCCTTTGAAATTTTAAACATAGTCATGCATTATGATATCCTACAACGTGATGCATAGCAATTATCATGAAAACACGTGCATGCACGTGCTCTGCAATCTGATTGGCTTAAAATTTAAATAGCTATAACTCCCTTGGTTTTCAACCAAACAGGATGGGGTTTGGAACATAGATAGATATTATAGACTCCTACAAGAAGGTATGGTCACCATGCACATTCATACACATGCGTGTACGTGCGCTGCAATCTGATTGGTTGAAACTTTAAACAGCTATAACTCCCTTGGTTTTCAACCAAACGGGGTGGGATTTAAAACAAAGATAGATGTAATGGACTTCTATAAAAAGGGATGGTCACATGCCCGTGTATGCACGTGTGTGCACGTGAAATGAGAAAAATCAAAAATACACTTGAATGAGCGTATTTTTAAAAAATATTTTTGGATTAACTACTTTCAGATTTAGTATATTTAGATATATAGATCATGTAGACATTAAGCACATGCATTCACATGCACACGCACGCAATGCCAAAATTTGAATGAACTTGGTACACTTCTGGGTAAACGTTGTTAAAGTCTCAAAAACAAAGAGTTTGTCTTATTTAATGAAGCTTACAGGAAATATGGCGCCAAAAGGGAGTTGGGGAGCGTTTGGGGAACATCTGTAACGGTCCCCGTTACAATTAGCACTAGTTCATAATTATCTTTCCTTGGAAGAAGGCGTGGCCTGTCATTTGAAAAAAAAAAGAATCCTCTTTACACAGGCTGTTTTTTGACAAGATTGGTTGAAATTGACCCTATATGTTCCTGAGAAGTTGAAAAAGCCTACTGGACCCTTCATCCCAGGTGAGCTAAAACAACATTGAAAGACCTTTAATGGTTCAGTTTAAACCAGACCCTTTCCCCAAAGCTGCAATCGTAACTACTCGGCCATTTCCGTGAACGATAAATAATAGTTATTTCTCTTTCGGAAAATGGCCGAGTAGTTACGAATGCCCAAAGCTGCTGTCATTAATTGCCTCGCACTGGTCCTTCTGGTAATCTGGAGGAAACGCATTAAGTGCACTTTCGTGTCTGAGTGTCAACAGGGGATGCTTACTGTTCCATGGCAAGTGATCCCACCTCTGATCTTTTTTAGAGGTCTGCATTTGCACTATTACCGACTTGTGTCGTTCCAATGTACTTCCTGTGCGAGTTAGTTACTTTTTTCCCATGTACTACATTTTCAATATACATAGGCGTCAGAACCGGGGGGGGGGGGGGGGCTAACTTCCCATTTTTTTTTTTTTTTTTTTTGCAAAGATAGAAATTATATAGTCATTGAAAGTTGAGGATCGCCTTTTTTTTGTTGGTTTAGCCCCCCCCTTTCAATTAGCTATGGCCATTGCACCCCACTTTCAATTAGCTTCCGACGTCCATGAAATAGTAATAAATATAATTCATAGGGTAATACGTGTATATATATAAAAATATTTTGGGGTGATGTAAAATACGGGTTATAACGTGTTGGGTTTTGCCACAAACCCATCCAGCGTTATGGGATTTGATCAAATGATCAACTCACATTCACATCCCGATGAATTAAGTGTAAAAATAATACTTTTTTGATTTTTTCATAAATAAAGAAGATGGAATTTAAATATTTAATCTATATACTGGTATCACACGCTTATCAATATTTTGCATTGAACTCATGTTTATATGAATGACTGGACTGACGTCGTCATTTAAATACCCACTATCTGTGGTAAGATTCATGGATTAAACAAATATTGTCCTTTTTCACTTTAAAACTCTTTAAACGAATTTTAAATATGAATTCTACGAGAGCTTTGACAATATCGCAATCACTTACAGTCAACAGGGTAACGGGATACGATCAATGTGTTAGGCCCGGAGGAGGAGCGTAATTTGTAATGGACGAGAGAAAACCAGCAGGATCCAGGATAGCACCATACCCACAAAGGTAACCATACCAAATCTGTTTTTATTTCAAAGATCTGATTTAGGAGTACGTGTTAGCGGTTGATTTGAGAGGGGAAAACAGTCGTGGGCGTACAGGTTGCTCAATGTGAGATATTGCAAAATAAAAAGGTTGACAGGTATTGATTAAAATATTGGTTGACAATATTGTGATGGATACATTTGCAGAGACTGCATTTGTTGAATAAATCTAGAGAATAAATAAAGAAAAAATGAATAATTAATTTTTTTAAATTTATAAATCTAAATAAAGTTAATATGTTTTTAAATAGATACACCCACCACCTACCCCATACCACCACCTACGCAACTGATTCCAAATATAAGTACTCAAATATGATCTGCAAAATATACTATCAATGCAATTCCAGGAAATTATCACAATGAATGACAATTTTAAGCCCCTTTAATCAGCGATTCGGGGATATGTATTTTTTGCCCTGTCCATCAGTCTGTCTGTTTATCTGTTTGTGTGTTTTTTCAGCAAAAGCTTAACCTTGTCCATTACACTTAACTGGTAGAAGCTTTGTGAATCCTTTTGACAAGGCTTTTCCTTGAGTTTAACATTGGCCTCTTGACTCTGCCCTTGGAGTTTGACCCAATTTGCAAGAATTTCTCAACTTTAACCTTCGCCATAACTTTTGAAGAGTTTGTGCTAGGGCTTCCATACTTTACATATGTATTCTGTTTGATAAGAAATTAGTAAATATATTTTTTGAACTTTTGACCTTAAACATTGAGATTGACATACTTTTGGAAAACTTTTACCCTGCTCATAACCCTAACAAAATATACTTTAATAAACTATAGTTAACTACAGTTTTCTATAGTTGACCATAGTTAACTACTAGTATAGTATCAAAGTGAAAACTTTGGAACTTTGATACAAATTGCACCCCATTATTAGCAGACCTATTTTTGTATTCATATGAAGCAGAGTTTGTCCAAAGTCTTATACATGACAAGAAGAAACACTTGCCGTGGCCTTCAACTCAACATATATATCGACGACGTATTTTCAGCTAACAATGGTAATTTCCATTCTTATATCGATACGATATATCCCCGTGAGATTGAGATAAAAGATACCACAGAGACTGACACATCTGGTTCATATTTGTTGATATTTTACTTGAAAAAGACGTTAATGGTAATCCAACAACCAAGCTCTATGATATATGTGATGACTTTAACGCTTCATTCGTCAACTTCCCTTACTTATGTAGCAATATACATTCATCATCTGCATACGGAGTTTAGGTCTATATATATCAGTTGATTCGATACACAAGAGCATGCTCTACGTGTGATCAATTTCTAAAATGAGGTAAATTATTGAGAAATAAGTTGACGAAACAAGAATATCAACAGTCTCCTTTAAAGTTGTCAGTTCTATGGTCGATACAATAACCTTGTCAGCAAATACAATTTATCATTGAGTCAAATGCGGACTGACGTTTTCACACTGAATTGATGACAGATTTTTCCGTTATTTCATGACAAACAGCACACAGCGGGTGTGACCGGTCGGCAGGGGATGCTCACACCTCCATGGCACTTGATCCCACCTTTGATGTTTTAGAGGGCCGTGTTTGCTCTGCACCAATTTTGTATTGTTTAATGGGCTTTTGAGCTTGAGTGTTGTTCGTATACCCAAAGTGTCTTCAGAAAAAGCATGGATTAATATAGACAAAGGTCAACAAAATTGGTATGACACAAGTCAGCCAAAAATAGACCCAATTATATTTAGTCTTGCTAACAAGATCATTATCGACCATTCAATTTACGAAATGCCTTTGTTTTAGAATAAATTCTACTTCATGGGGTACTATATAAAACGGGTTTGCTAATAAAGGAACACAGTAAGTGCCCATCGGAATTCCAATTGTTTGTTGGAAGAAGACTACGAAAGTGTTGTCCACGAAGAACTCATACATCGTTTCAACATAAACTTTTATCAAAAATACCGTCTTTTGTGCAGAATCAGAGTAATTTTGTTGATGACCAATCTCCAAGAAATTCTCCGCGTTCCATTTTTATTGGGAAGCAATTGTCTATGATATCAAAAAGCTTAGTTTTTAATATCGAGAGGAATGGATGTACAATGTATAAAATGTTTAAAAAGTCGTACTTTTCTGTGGTATTTGAATGTTAATTTATGTTGTATTACAGACCAAACGCTACACCGGCGCGTCCCAAACCCCCTGGGTGTCTGGACTGTCTCAGGACCCGCCTTCATCTATTGCCCATCATTACATTTACATGGCTGGCCATAACCGTCTGTTTATCGTAAGCTGAGAGAGAGAGGTGTGGAGGTAGGGGGTGGGGAGGGAAGGGGTTAGAGAGAGAGAGAATGAAAGGGGGGTGGCGAGGAAAAGAGAGAGGGGGAGATAACTTATTTCATTTCTTTTGTTTTCTAGATATACTTTATCTGCTATCAGGAAAGATACAGAGGCAGATTTTCCATACATCAGGTAGTTACACAATGTAGATATAGATTACCCTATAGATGTAGCCGTCATCTGATTAATAAGAGGAAACTTTTCCTGTATAAACAAATTGTCATAAAATCCAAATTACATAAAACTTATTTGATACAAACTTAATTTCATAAAATCCCAAGAAACGTTTTCAGAAATTCAAATAAATGCTTTTAACGACTGATAATTCCTGTTTTCTAGTAAACTGTTTTATTTTTATCCTTATTGGCAGTAAGACAGCGAACAATGACCCACAGAGGGCGATTTTTGCTCAAATGGTGACCATTGGCTCAGTTTTATGTGAGTATTTTTTATATATTATACAACTGCATTTACAAAAACAACTCTTTTGATATGTTTGCATGTTAATAATAACAAGGTTATTATTATAGTATAGGGGATAGTTATTTATGAAAAGAAAGGTTAAAAACGTGAAGTATCTGTGAAACAGTTGAAACAGTATGCTTTATATGATGCTTTATATTTTATTTTTAAACGGCGTGTCATAGATCAAGTGGAAAACCTATCGTTTCGAATCTGAAAGTATCAAAACCTAAACATATATAAACTTAACAAATAAATATATATATAAATGCTTATTATTTTATAATCAGTACATTAACATATGGTGTTGTCCCTTTCTTTAGATGAAGTGTGTAGCGTACTGAGGTACATGTACTCAGTATATACAGTGTCTTGTTTCTTTTTCAGATAGTTTGTGTAGAGTACTATAGGTACTTAGTATACACATTGTTATGGCACGCCAAATTCACAAAAATGAGCTAAACATAGTTTCACAGTTGATAAACAAGGTTTATCGACTGTTAACTATAGTTTACAAACCATGTACTATAGATAACAAATTCGTTAACTATAGTTTTCATCTGTAAAGCTATATCTAACGGTTGTTAACTATAGTTTACGAATGCTAATCCAAGTTTATCTGTCTGTAATAAAACGTGAACAATAGATTTTGTTCATAAATATAGATTCACGTCCGTTAACTATAAATCACAATCGTGAACTATAGTTCAGAGTTGTTTATCATAGTTTCACAAATCGTGAAACTATATTCATCAGATCGTTAACTATAGTTAAGAGTTGTAAACCATAGTTTACAAATCGTGAAACTGTATTTATCAGATAATTTATGTTTTGCAATCGCAAATGATTGTTTTCAGTGTTAAGTATAGTTATACGGTTCTGTATGGCACGCCAATTTCACAAAAATGAGCTAAACCTAGTTTCACTATTGATAAATTGGTTTATCGACTGTAAACTATAGTTTACAAACCGTAAACTATAGTTAACGATTCGTTAAGTATAGTTTTCATCTGTGAAACTATATTTAACGGTTGTTAACTATAGTTTACGAATGCTAATCTAAGTTTACCTGTCTGTAATAAAACGTTAACAATAGATTTTGTTGATAAACATAGATTCACGTCTGTAAACTATAATTTACGATCGTTAACTATAGTTAAGAGTTGTAAACCATAGTTTACAAATCGTGAAACTGTATTTATCAGATAATCTATGTTTTTCAATCGCAAATGTATGGCACGCCAAATTCACAAAAATGAGCTAAACATAGTTTCACAGTCGATAAACTAGGTTTATAGGTTGTAAACTATAGTTTACGGACTGTAAACTATAGTTAATAACGTTAATCTATATTTTACATCTGTAAACCATAGTTAACGCGATAATCTATTTTTCACAACCGTAAAGTATACTTAACACTGAAAACAATCATTTGCGATTGCAAAACATAGATTATCTGATAAATACAGTTTCACGATTTGTAAACTATAGTTAACAAACCGTTAACTATAGTTAACGATCTGATAAATATAGTTTCACGATTTGTGAAACTATGATTAACAACTCTTAACTATAGTTTACGATTGTAAACTATAGTTTACAAACGTGAATCTATGTTTATCAACAAAATCTATTGTTAACGCTTATTACAGACAGATAAACTTAGATTATCATTCGTAAACTATAGTTAACAACCGTTAAATATAGTTTTACAGATGAAAACTATACTTAACGAATCGTTAACTATACTTAACGAATCGTTAACTATAGTTTACGGTTTGTAAACTATAGTTTACAGTCGATAAACCTAGTTTATCAAATGTGAAACTAGGTTTATCTCATTTTTGTGAATTTGGCGTGCCATACAAATGATTATTTTTGGTGTTAAGTATAGTTTACGGTTGTGAAACATACATTATCGCGTTAACTATGGTTTACAGATGTAAAATATAGATTAACATTGTTAACTATAGTTTACAGTCCGTAAACTATAGTTTACAACCGATAAACCTAGTTTATCGACTGTGAAACCATGATTAGCTCATTTTTGTGAATCTGGCGTGCTAAACATAGTTTCACGATTGATAAACTAGGTTTATCGACTGTAAACTATAGTTTACAAACCGTAAACTATAGTTAACAATTCGTTAACTATAGTTTTCATCTGTAAAACTATATTTAACGATTGTTAACTATAGTTTACGAATGCTAATCTAAGTTTATCTGTCTGTAATAAAACGTTAACAATAGATTTTGTTGTTAAACATAGATTCACGTCTGTAAACTATAATTTACGATCGTTAACTATAGTTAAGAGTTGTAAACCATAGTGTACAATTGTGAAACTGTATTTATCAGATAATCTATGTTTTGCAATCGCAAATGATTGTTTTCGGTGTTAAGTATAGTTAACGGTTGTGAAACATAGATTATCGCGTTAACTATGGTTTACAGATGTAAAATATAGATTAACGTTGTTAACTATAGTTGTTAACTATAGTTTACAGTCCGTTAACTATAGTTTACAACCGATAAACCTAGTTTATCGACTGTGAAACTATGTTTTGCTCAATTTTGTGAATTTGGCGTGCCATAGTTCTGAAACATAGGTTATCGCGTTAACGATGGTTTACAGATGTAAAGTATATTCTGTTAACTATAGTTTACAACCGATAAACCTAGTTTATCGACTGTGAAACTCTGTTTAGCTCATGTTTATGAATTTGGCGTGCCATATACATTGTCTTGTTTCTTTTTTATTTAGATGAAATGTGCTGCGTACTGAGGTACTCAGTATACACAGTGTTTTGTTTCTTTTATTTGGATGGTATGTGTAGCGTTTTGAGGTACACAGTATACAATGTTTTGTCTCTATTTTTAGATGGTATGTGTAGCGTATTGAGGTACACAGTATACAATGTTTTGTCTCTATTTTTAGATAGTATGTGTAGCGTACTGAGGTACACAGTATACAATGTTTTGTCTCTATTTTTAGATGGTATGTGTAGCGTACTGAGGTACACAGTATACAGTGTTTTGTCTCTATTTTTAGATGGTATATTCTGCGTATTGAGGTACACAGTATACAATGTTTTGTCTCTACTTTTAGATGGTATATGCTGCGTATTGAGGTGCTCTGTATACAATCTCTTGTTTCTATTTTTAGATGGTATGTGCTGCGTACTGAGGTACACAATAAACAATGTCTTGTTTTATTTTTAGATGGTATACGTATGTGCTGCGTATTGAGGTACTCAGTATACAATGTCTTGTTTCTATTTTTAGATGGTATGTGCTGCGTATTGAGGTACTCATTATACAATGTCTTGTTTCTATTTTTAGATGGTATATATTTGTTGCGTACTGAGGTACACAGTATACAATTTTTGTCTCTAATTTTAGATGGTATGTGTTGCGTACTGAGGTACCTCTCCCTCAAAGTGGACCTCGTCTCCTGCTCCGTCCCAAAAACCTATCACTGGCTGAATATTGTCTGTCTGTGTGTAGGCCTGCTGGTCAGCTTAGGAAACACATTACTGGGAAACTTTCCAGTACGTACTCAGATTGAATTACTGTAAATATGAAAGCCATGCTTCCTTTCTCCAATATGCCGTTAGAGTGGAACTTTAGTTGTAAAGGTGGTTAAATGCTTATGATTTTTTTTAATCGCACAAGTTTGTCGGTAAGAAAAGTTGATATATAAATTGCAACTCGAATATTTTTAATAAAGCATTCGTTGTACACGTTAGTTAGAATAATCTAACTGTGTCTCGGGACAAACTCTCACCGGGTCCGTAGGACATTTATCATTCGTTGTTAGCAGCACTCAAAACTCCAGTAGCAGTAATTGTATCCACAAGCAAAGAGCTCACCATTATGTACTGGTATTTTGTCAGTCTTTTATATTACTAACAGACAGATGGTTACAACAGCTATTTCAAGGGCCCTCACTATGTCGGAGCTGCAATGGCGTTTGTTGGCGGCGTAGTGTACGGCTGGATACAGACAAGGTTGTCATGGTTACTGGACTCTAAACAAAGAAGAACAAGCAGGATACAGTTGGTACTCATGATCTGGACTACAGTGGCCCTCTTGACATGTATCCAATTTTTTAATGGACAATCTACTTTTATGTTTCACTACTAGTAATCGAAGATTTGGGGGCATGTGGTTTTTTGCCAATCTATCCGTCTTTCTTCTTGCCTTTTGTCTCTAACCATACCCATAATGTTTGAATGGAGGGTGCTATAGGGCTTTAATTAATATTTCGTTTTTTCATGTGTAAAGACCTTTCTTTAGGTACCAACATACAAATGAATTAAATAATTTTGACCTTTTGTCATTGGAGTTTGACCTCCTTTTTGCAAAATTTACAAAACTTATTATTAACCATAACTTTTGAACGTTTGGGTCAAGACTTTCATATTCCATTTTCATATTTCATCTGCAGACCTTTCTTTGAGTATAACAATATTTTTTTATCTTTTCATTTTTATATTTCATGTGCAGACCTTTCTTTGAGTATAACAATATTTTTTTATCTTTTGAATTTGACTTTTTTTTATGACCTACTTTTGAAAATTTGTTACCTAGGTTAAAAATTTTAAACCAGAATTTTCACGTATCACAATGTATTTCTTGTGACAAGTGCTTTGCTTGGATACAAACATTTTTTACCTACTGACCTTGAAGTTTGATGTTCATTTGAAACTTTAACCTTGAGTATTCCTTTTGAATGGGTGCTACTATTGCTTCCATATTTCAATTATTCAGTTATATGTGAGTAGACCTTTCCTTTGTTACACTATACTTTTGGTCCTATTACATTGATCTTAGAGTATGACCTTCTTTTTGAGAAAAAAAATTCCTTTTGGTAATATTTTCCATTTCACTCGTGTTTTCCTTATGACAAGGCCTTTCTTGGGGTATGAATATTTTTTACCTCTAAACTTTGGAATTTGTCATACGATAGCATCAGTGTTTCACATGCACATCTTGTAATTTAGTTATTTTTTAAAATACAAATCTTGAGTGAAAATAATGTTAACCTTAACCTTTGAATATTAGTCGGGATATCAAAAGTAGTGTATGAGGTACAGAAGTCTAAAGGCTACGGATCAAAAGAGGTAAGTCACAATTGAGTCACAATTGATTTTAAGTGGATTTTCTGTTGGGGGGGGGGGTAAACCACAGAATTCTTTGATTGAATAACCGGCATTGATTAAAGAAGAGTAGGAAAATCTCAATAAACTGCAAGTGACGAAGACATAATCAATTCAAGTAGTTTTGATTTCGTTGCAAGCTATACAAGATACAAGATATTTTATTTACTAATCAAGGGCCCCGAGGGGCATTTCAACATATATAAATGTACAATTTAAACATTCTTTTTCTTTTTTAAAAAGAAATATAATTTTTTTTAAATAGTTATATGAATGACCAAGTTACATAATAATATTGGTCTCAGTGTCAATGATCATGCATAATATACAATGAATAAAAGCACAAATATGGAGTTGGTATATCGCTTAAAGACGAGTTTTTATTTCTAGGACTCCTTACGTGACGTGTACTTGGCATCCACCATAACGGAGTGGATCCTGGCTTTCTGCATCGCTGGCTTTCCTATGACCTTTATACGGGACTTCAAGGCTTCGACTCTGAAGAGTCCCAGAATAGTCAGGCGTGACTGTACAAAACAATTCCATTATGTGCGTAAAGGAACTCAACAATATTTGCTTATTATTCAGAGATATATTTAGTTTTGTTTTAATTGTCGATCTAATGTACAGATGATTTTTAAATTAGTTTTTTTCTTTCACTAAACATTATTTTTGTAGGTGAGAGAGAATTTGTTTCGTCTTCTCCTATTTGATATCATAACAAAATATATTATCAATTTGTATTTTTGTTTTAGTAGGAAAATTTTAGAGTCTGTAGGTCAGATATATTTTTGTTTCGTTTTAGGGAGATGGTAAAAGAGAAGAGAAAGATGCAATCTATTAATAAAACGATATAAGTATAGATAAGGATCACTAGTCTACCATTAATCGTTAGTCTTCCATTACATGTATGTGTGTTTAATCGTCAGTCTACACAATGCTTGCTAGTCTACACCAAGATCGTCAGTCATCAAGAATGGTATAAATGAAGGGCTCCTGAAATCAAAACTCATACTTTGCTTGATAATACGAGTGAGAAATATAGAAGAATAACTTGAAGGTAAAACAACACATTGCTTACATCTATAAATTTTAAAACTTTGTTTTGAATAAAAGTAATGACAAATTCTTTTAAATATACAAATTTTATGACAATCATAATTTCCATTCCTAGATGGACGTTTCACCGTTGCCTGGCTACACAATGCCCCCAGGTGGTGCTATGGACATTTTATTCTCCTTCGACACCACCGGGTCAATGTCATACATACTAGACGAGGTCAAAGGTCGATTAAGCGAGATGATCCAGAGACTTCAAGCTGATATTCCAGGAATCAGAATAGGGGTGATAGCCCACGGGGACTATTGTGACGAAAAAGTTTTCTATCTGGAAAAACACATCGACTTCACTCATAATGTGGCGGATCTGTGTAATTTTGTGGGCGAAGTCGAGGGAACGGGAGGTGGAGATCAAGACGAGTGTTATGAACTGGTGCTTAGAAAAGCAAATGAAGATTTTAACTGGGCACCAGTTTCCAACAAAGTTTTGGTGATGATTGGAGATGCCAACCCGCACGAACCAGATTATGAACTGAACGTGCACAATATTAATTGGAGAGACGAAGTCGATATTCTTGCAAAACAGGTAAAAATTTATAACAAAACCTAAATAATAAAAGGAGAAAATAAAAATCCATTTGTATATGCTGTAATTCCCATATTTTTGTTTCTGATAAATGTGGTACCTATATTTTAGGGAATTAAGATCTATGCTGTCCAGGCCTTGAATAACGAAGGAGTGAAAGACTTCTACAAAACTATGGCAGATAAAACTGGTGGTCACTATCTTAAGCTGGAGAATTTTTCCAGCATTTGCGATTTCATCATGGCAATATGCTACCGAGAAAGGGACGACGGCCTGTTTATGGTAATTGTGAATACTTTTTCTTTTGAATCAAAAATTAATAACTTTCCGGATTAAAGAGAAATAGGGCTCTGCAACCGAATTCTTTGAAAAGTTTGTCAAAATTTAATATATTTTTTCCGCCATTTTCTATAGAATTATGAAGCAGAAGTTACAGCCCGCCAAGGCACCTCTGGTCTCCACAAAGATCTGAACAACATGTTTGCCACCCTCCGTCGCGGAGACTCAGTGAGTAGCACGTCAATCCCAGGCTTTTCTATCTGCGTGTCTACCGCCCCACATTCACCATTGCCAGTCACACCCATGGACAGTATTGTTAGCTCAACGAGTGACGTCAGTACCAAACCAAAAACTATAGATTTACCCAAGGCGCCAATCCCACGTGCCCCAAAGGCTAGACCACTTAAAAAGAGACAACCGATTCCTAAAAATGTAAGTTTCCATTTTATTGCAAATCAAACGTCTGAAGAATATTTTTCTTCAAGATATTTGAATTCTTTGTTTAAAATTGCAGTATGAATTCAATGATAATTAAATTTGTGATTTTCAGAACTCGACAAAGAAGAGTATCCCACGCGAGAACATCCCAGAAACGAAATTCGCTCTTCGGAATTTGAAATGGACGCCGTGGAAACTAGCATACAGTCCCGAGAAACCAGAGGGCCCATTTCACAAAATGTATCTTAAAAATGGTTTTAGAAGAACAAAGTTATTTAAGAGCTCCACAGGGACAAAAGTTTACGAAGTTGCGGTACAGACGCGTCCAAGAGGAAAACTTCATGTTATGTACCACAAAATAACACCCTTGGACCTTGATCAAGGGTCATGGGAACGGTGTTTATTTCAGGGGTCTCGGAGACGTGTCTATGTTCACAGAAGACAAATTCTTCGAGTAATCCAGCAAGGTTGTCGTGTGTTTATTCGCAAAACAGACATTAGCAAGAGAGAAATGAAACAGGTCGAAAAACTGAACAATTACAGCTACGCATGGGCTAGGTCAATTTCAGGGAAAAAATCTCCAGAGAGAGCGGTTATTAAAAATCATAAAGCACTGTCTGGTATGGATTATTAGTGTTACTGATGAAGAAGTTCATATCTTGTTCACTCTGTCATGTTCATATCCATCGTGATATTAGAAATCATATGTTTATGTTATGTTTTTATACTATGCATGTGCAGTAATTAAATGAAATGTTTTGTTGTTCTGTTATTTTATAGTACAAATAAAACCAATTTGTTTTTCTATTTCAATCTCAATTTTTTTTTATTACAAAGAGAGACGTGTTCATTCTCTTGGGATTGCCAGTCTACACCGTAATTACTTTGTTTGAAAGTAGAGTTATCGCGCTTAGTGCACAAAATTACTCCATTTTAAATGTATTCAGCATAATAATATTTATCAAGTCTTGTATAAAATATATCAATTTAAATATAAAACATAAATGTACATGGCACACTGGATATCGCAAGTACGATCATGTAATAGAAATCTATACAGGGTCCGACACTCGTCAAAATTTGGTCTCGCCATTTGGGCAACCTTGGTACTAATCACGGGTTGCCCGAATGAATTTCAGGTCGTCCAAATAAAATATCAAATGAAACAAAACTTAATATGCAATTGTTTAAAATTTGTTAAGATAATTAACAGACGTTGTGTTTTGTGTTAAAAAATGTAAACCAGACATTTTTGGAATGTCAAGATGTCTTCCAGTATTTTATCAAACAAAAATATAAGCAGAATCTGACATGCAGAATGCTAAAGTTTGCAGTTTAAAACATTCATTTTCACTTACAATGAAGGCCTAAGTAAATGGGGTCAAATATCCCTGGACTGAATTAACCAGATGTGATATTACAGTGGACACCCAAAATGGCTATCTAGCAGCAGAAAACAATCATCAGATGATCAGAAAGTTGTATAAGGAAATGCAAGCTGTTACAATGATGATTATTACTCTTTATATTTAAGGTGATTGTTGACTAAGTTGACTTATTTTATATCTCAAATAAAACTTCATTAAGGACTTTTGGTAAAAATTACATCAGCTGATTGATCGAACACAGATTTGGCAGGAAGAAAAATTTACGCAGCTGCAATTTGAGCATGTTGAATGTGTTGGTTTGGTTACAGGAAAATATGTTTTCAAGGCCTTATGAAGTTTATTTTGAAATATTAAAATCATTATTAAATATTCCTGACTTGTCCCAGGTCGTCATTTGGGCGAGCCAGACTGAAAATCAGGTCGTCCGAAATCATTTCTGGGTGGAAATGACGATGTGACGAGTGTGAATGTCGAACCCTGTCATGCATCAATTCTGTGGATATATTACCACTGAAGTTGTGAAATTACATTGACTGTTTATCGTAAGCTGATAGAGAGAGGTGTGGAGGGAGGCGGTGAGAGAGAGAGAGAGAGAGGGTGGGAAGGGAGGGGTTAGAGAGAGAGAGAGTGGCGAGGAAAAGAGAGACGGGGAGATAACTTGATATTTTATTTCTTGTTTTCTAGATATACTTTATCTGCTATCAGGAGAGATACAGAAGCAGATTTTCCATATCAGGTAGTTACACAATGTCGATATAGATTACCCTATAGATGTAACCGTCATCTGGTTAATAAGAGAAAACTTTTCCTGTATAAACAAATTGTCATAAAATCCATAAAACTTATTTAGTACAAACTAGGATTCATAAAATCCCAACAAACTTAGTATTCAGAAATTCAAATAATTGCTCTAACAACTGTTTTGTCTTTTTTGATACTTCCTGTTTTCTAGTAAACTGTTTTATTTTTATCCTTTTTGGCATTAAGGCAGCGAACAATGACCCACAGAGGGCGATTTTTGCTCAAATGGTGACCATTGGCTCAGTTTTATGTGAGTTTTTTTTTTCATATATACAACTGCATATACAAAAACAACACTTTTGATATGTTTGTATGTTTAATTATAAAAGTGAAACATTAAAAAATCAGTCTAAATTGTGTAACAGTGTGCCATATGTTGATAAAATAAGATGTACTTAAGACAAAATATTTTATTTTTAAACGACGTGTCATAGATCATCTGGAAAACTTCTCCCTTCGAATCTGAAAGTATATATAGAAACATACACATTTAATAATATACGAATGTGTATGTTTATAAAACTTAAACTTTTAAAAAATCAGTCTACATTGTGAAACAGTACACAGACGCTTGACGTTTTTAACCTTTCTTTTCATAAATAAAAATATCACACATACTATAATAAGTATATAATAATAACAAGGTTATCATTATAGTATAGGGGATAATTATTTATGAAAAGAAAGGTAGAAAACGTCAAGTATCTGTGAAACAGGTGAAACAGTATGCTTCATATGATGCTTTATATTTTATTTTTAAACGGCGTGTCATAGATCAAGTGGAAAACCCATCGCTTCGAATCTGAAAACCTAAACATAAACTTAACAAATAAATATATATATAAATGCTTATTATTTTATAATCAGTACATTACATATGGTGTCCCTATCTTTAGATGAAGTGTACTGTAGCTACTGAGGTACATGTACTCAGTATATATATACAGTGTCTTGTTTCTTTAAATTTTCAGATAGTTTGTGAAGCATACTGGGTACTCAGTATACACATTGTTATGGCACGCCAAATTCACAAAAATGAGCTAAACATAGTTTCACAATTGATAAAGCAGGTTTATCGACTGTTAACTAGTTTACAAACCGTGAACTATAGTTAACAATTTGTTAACTATAGTTTTCATCTGTAAAACTATATTTAACGGTTGTTAACTATAGTTTACGAATGCTAATCTAGGTTTATCTGTCTGTACTAATAAAACGTCAACAATAGATTTTGTTGATGAACATAGATTCACGTCTGTAAACTATAATTCACAATCGTTAACTATAGTCGAGTTGTTAATCATAGTTTCACAAATCGAGAAACTATATTTATCAGATCGTTAACTATAGTTAAGAGTTGTAAACCATAGTTTACAAATCGTGAAACTGTATTCATCAGATAATTTATGTTTTGCAATCGCAAATGATTGTTTTCAGTTTTAAAGTATAGTTACTGTAAATCACTTTTTATTCGCGTGGACTTTATTTTCGCGTAATTACGCGAGACCATGCGTTCGCGAAAATTTAATTCCCGCGTATAAAAGTATTCCTTACGATTATATGGAGGAATAACATTATGTCTCGCTTATAAAGATTCAATGACAATCTCGCGAAAATAAGGTGTCGCAGTATACGGTTCTGAATCACAGATTATCGCGTTAAATATGGTTTACAGATGTAAAATACAGTCCGTAAACTATAGTTTACAACCGATAAACCTTATTTATCGACTGTGAAACTCTGTTTGGCTCATGTTTGTGAATTTGGCGTGCCATACATAGTCTTGTTTCTTTTTTATTTAGATGAAATGTGTAGCTTACCGAGGTACTCAATATACACAGTGTCTTGTTTTTTTTTTTTTGTACCCCGCTTGAAAAGTGGGGGACATTAATTTGGATCTGTCCGTCCGTCCGTCTTTCAGTCTGTCTGTAACGCTTTCGTTTCCACACGATATCTCGAGAATCCTTTGAGCTTTCGAATTGAAATTTTGCATAGCAACTCCCTATGGACTAAACAAGAACCCTATCGATTTTGAGGTCAAAAGGTCAAGGTCATAAATTCGCATATTCTGTCTGTTATAACACTTTCGTTTCCGCGCGATATCTCGAGAACCCTTTGAGCGTTTGCAATGAAATTTTACATAACAACTCCCTGTGGCCTAAGGAAGACCCCTATTGATTTTGAGGTCAAAATGTCAAAGTTCAAGGTCGTAAATTTATATATTCTGTCTGTTTGTTGCACTATCGTTTCCGGGCGATATTTCAAGAAGATTTTGAGCTTTTGCAATGTACATGTAATTTTATACCAAAACTCCCTTGGACCTCTCTCAACCCTCTCAAAGTTTGCCGCCCCGTTTGTTTTATTAGTATTTAATTTATTGTATTACATGTCGCAATTTTTAGCAAAGGGGCATGAGGAGATCGAGTTATTACGCATAAAACAGGTTCTCGTCGGACTTTATATTCTTATTACAACTATTAGAACTGTTTAATAAAGGCTAAATTAGACACCATGCATTGTGTAAAATTTTGACAATATCGAACGTGAATATATACATGTATGTGACTTCATGTTTGCATATAATTGTCGCGGATCGTAAGCGATTCCGTGGTCTAGTGGTATGTGTGAGAGGTCCCGGGTTCGAACCCGGATGGTCACTTTCTTTTTTTTTCGAAATACTTTTTTTTCTACTAAATAATAGTATTCAGCATGTAAAATGAAAAAAATTATGAGGTCTGGCTTGTACAAACTCATAAAATCATCATTACAGTGTGATAAATATTCCATATATAAGAATCTTCTATACACATAATAAAGAATAAGTAATTAAATCATTATATCCATATTGGCATATTTTATTTGCTTCAGTATACATATAATAATTTTACAAATTCAGTCAGGGGGATCCGACCACCCCCCCCCCTCCCCTGAACTGCGCATGGTTTACTTTTTCCCTAAACGGGGGACACAAATTCTCTGAATTAACTTCTTGTAGATGGTATATGTTGCATACTGAGGTACTCAGTATACACAGCGTATTGTTTCTTTATTTAGACGGTATGTGCTGCGTACTGAGGTACCTCTCCCTCAAAGTGGACCTTGTCTCCTTCTCCGTCCCAAAAACCTATCATTGGCTGAACATCGTCTGTCTGTGTGTAGGCCTGCTGGTCAGCTTAGGAAACACATTACTAGGAAACTTTCCAGTAAGTATCAGATTGAATAACTGTAAATATGAAAGCCATATGCTTCCTTTCCCCAGTATGCCAATAGAGTAGAATTTTAGTTGTAAAGGTGGTTAAATGCTTATAATTTTTTTTAAATCGCACAAGTCTGTCGGCAAGAAAAGTTGATATATAAATTGCAACTCGAATCTTTTTAATAAAGCGTTCGTTGTACACGTTAGTTAGAATAATCTAACTGTGTCCCGGGACAAAATCTCACTGGGTCCGTAGGACATTATCATTCGTTGTCAGCAGCACTCAAAACTCCAGTAACAGTAATTGTATCCACAAGCAAAGAAGCGGAACTCTTTCTCACAAATCGTGCTCACCATTATGTTCTGGTATGTTGTCAGTATTTTGTAACTTCATCATCTGATTACTAACAGACAGATGGTTACAACAGCTATTTCAAGGGTCCTCACTATGTCGGAGCTGCAATGGCGTTTGTTGGCGGCGTAGTGTACGGCTGGATACAGACAAGGTTGTCATGGTTACTGGACTTAAAACAAAGAAGAACAAGCAGGATACAGCTGGTACTCATGATCTGGACTACAGTGGCCCTTTTGACATGTATCCAATTCTTAATCAAAATATATTTTTATGCTTCAATAATAGAGAATTTGGGGACATGTAGTTTTTGGCCAATCCATCCGTCTTTCTTTTTGTCTTGTTTAGTCTATAACGTATGAATGGTGGATGCTAGGGCTTGAATTAATATTTCATAGGTATATTCCATGTGAAATAATCTTTCTTTAGTAACCAACGTACAAATTTAATAAATTTTTTTCCTATTGCATTGACTTTAGTGTATGGCATACTTTTTGAAAAAAAATCACATTTGGTCATATTTCTCATTAATTTTACATATGTTAAATCCGTACGACAAGGCCTTTCTTGGGTTATCAATATTTTTTTTTTTTACCTCTGAACCTTGAAATTTGCCATACGGTGGTATCAGTGCTTCATAGGAACATCTTGTTTTGTTTCGCAATTTAATTATTTTAATACAAATCTTAAATGAAAATTATGTTAGCCTTAACGTTTTGATTATTAGTCGGGATATCAAAAGTAGTTTATGAGGTACAGAAATCTAAAGGCTACGGATCAAAAGAGGTAAGCTAAACTTCAACACTGATTTTTTATTTGGGGATTGAAACTGGTGAATACATGAATAAATAATAATAATAGTACATGTATGTTTCGACAGAATATTCGGCATTTCTTGAAGAAGAGTGGTAAAATTACATGTCGCTAATAATAAAATACCCATTTTTGAGTACACATCGCTAAATTTGCGTCTCGCTAAAATTTCCACGTATAGTACATATAATATGATAAAAATATGTGTGGGAAAAGCTTCAAATTTTCGCATTCTGAGTTGCCTTTTTTTAGTTTTTGAAAATAAATATCATTAACAACAGATAATGAAAATAAAGAAATAAGTGTATGAAACACAAGTTTTTATTTCTAGGACTCCTTACGTGACGTGTACTTGGCATCTACCGTAACGGAGTGGATCCTGGCTTTCAGCATCGCTGGCTTTCCTATGACCTTTATACGGGACTTCAAGGCTTCGACTCTGAAGAGTCCCAGGATATTCAGGCGTGAATGTACAAAACAATTCCATTATGTACGTAAAGGAACTCGACAATATTTGTTTATTATTCAGAGATTAAGTTTTGTTTTTGTAGGTGTTAATATATTGAGGGGAATTTTTTTTCGTTTCCTCCTATTTGATATTATAAACAACATCAATTTATCAATTTGTAGTTTTGTTTAGTATGAAAACTTTAGAGTCCATAGGTCAGGAATATTTTTGTTTCGTTTTAGGGAGATGGTAAAAGAGAAGAGAAAGATCCTTTCTATTAATTATATCGATTTATTAATAGAAAAGGATCTTTCCCTTCTCTTTTGCCATTAATCGTTAGTCTTCCATTACATGTATGTGTGTTTAATCGTCAGTCTACACAATGCTTGCTAGTCTACACCAAGATCGTCAGTCATCAAGAATGGTATAAATGAAAGGGCTCCGAAATCAAAACTTCATACTTTGCTTGATAATCGAGTAAGCAACACCAAAGAATAACTTGAAGGTAAAATAACACACTGTTGAGAAATCTTAAACATTAAATTTTTGTTTCTAATACTGAAAAGAACAAATTATTAAATATACTTATATAACAATCATTTATTTCAATTCCTAGATGGACGTTTCACCATTGCCAGGCTTCACAATGCCCCCAGGTGGTGCCATGGACATTTTATTCTCCTTTGACACCACCGGGTCAATGTCATACATACTCGACGAGGTCAAAGGTCGATTAAGCGAGATGATCCAGAGACTTCAAGCTGATATTCCAGGAATCAGAATAGGGGTGATAGCCCACGGGGACTATTGTGACGAAAAAGTTTTCTACCTGGAAAAACACATCGACTTCACTCATAATGTGGCGGATCTGTGTAATTTTGTGGGCGAGGTCGAGGGAACGGGTGGTGGAGATCAAGACGAGTGCTATGAACTGGTTCTTAGAAAAGCAAATGAAGATTTTAACTGGGCACCAGTTTCCAACAAAGTTTTGGTGATGATTGGAGATGCCAACCCACACGAACCAGATTACGAACTAAACGTGCACAATATTAATTGGAGAGACGAAGTCGATATTCTTGCAAAACAGGTAAATTATAATTTTTAAATCTAAAAAATAAAAGGAGAAAATAAAAATCCATTTGTATATGCTGTATAATTCCCACATTTCTGTTTCTGATAAATGTGGTACCCATATTTTAGGGAATTAAGATCTATGCTGTCCAGGCCCTGAATAACGAAGGAGTGGAAGACTTCTACAAAACTATGGCAGATAAAACTGGAGGTCACTATCTTAAGCTGGAGAATTTTTCCAGCATTTGCGATTTCATCATGGCAATATGCTACCGAGAAAAAGACGATGGCCTGTTTATGGTAATTGTGAATACTTTTTCTTTTGAATTAAAAATTAATTACTTTCCGGATTAAAGAGAAATAGGGCTCTGCAACCGAATTCTTTGAAAAGTTTGTCAAAATTTAATATATTTTTTCTGCCATTTTCTACAGAATTATGAAGCGGAAGTTACAGCCCGCCAAGGCACCTCTGGTCTCCACAAAGATTTAAACAACATGTTTGCCACCCTCCGTCGCGGAGACTCAGTGAGTAGCACGTCAATCCCAGGCTGTTCTATCTGCGTGTCTACTGCCCCACATTCACCATTGCCAATCACACACATGGACAGTATTGTTAGCTCAACGAGTGACGTCAGTACCAAACCAAAAACGATAGATTTACCCAAGGCGCCAATCCCACGTGCCCCAAAGGCTAGACCACTTAAAAAGAGACAACCGATTCCTAAAAATGTAAGTTTCCATTTTATTGCAAATCAAACGTCTGAAGAATATTTTTCTTCAAGGTATTTGAATTTTTTGTTTAAAATTGCAGTATGCATTCAATGATAATTAAATATGTGATTTTCAGAACTCGACAAAGAAGAGTATCCCACGCGAGAACATCCCAGAAACGAAATTCGCTCTTCGGAATTTGAAATGGACGCCGTGGAAACTAGCATACAGTCCCGAGAAACCAGAGGGCCCATTTCACAAAATGTATCTTAAAAATGGTTTTAGAAGAACAAAGTTATTTAAGAGCTCCACAGGGACAAAAGTTTACGAAGTTGCGGTACAGACTCGTCCAAGAGGAAAACTTCATGTTATGTACCACAAAATAACACCCTTGGACCTTGATCAAGGGTCATGGGAACGGTGTTTATTTCAGGGGTCTCGGAGACGTGTCTATGTTCACAGAAGACAAATTCTTCGAGTAATCCAGCAAGGTTGTCGTGTGTTTATTCGCAAAACAGACATTAGCAAGGGACAAATGAAAGAGGTTGAAAAACTGAACAATTACAGCTACGCATGGGCTAGGTCAATTTCCGGGAAAAAATCTCCAGAGAGAGCGGTTATTAAAAATCATAAAACACTGTCTGGTATGGATTATTAGTGTTACTGACGAAGAAGTTCATATCTTGTTCACTCTGTCATGTTCATATCCATCGTGATATTAGAAATCATATGTTTATGTTATGTTTTTATACTATGCATGTGCAGTAATTAAATGAAATGTTTTGTTGTTCTGTTATTTTATAGTACAAATAAAACCAATTTGTTTTTCTATTTCAATCTCAATTTTTTTATTACAAAGAGTGACGTCTTAATTCATTCTCTTGCAACGGATTGCCAGTCTACCCCGTAATTACCTTGTTTGAAAATAGAGTTATCGCGCTTAGTGCACAAAAATACTCCATTTTAAATGTATACAGCATAATAAAATTCATAAAGTCCACATTTTTATATAAAATATATCAATTTAAATATAAAACATAAATTGATAAATCATCTTAATACCAGCGCACACTTTTTCCATATCGCAAGTACAATTTGAAATACATATGATTAAATGTTCCTTATATCTTTTCTTATGTTTTAAACATAAATATTTCAATAAAATATAATGTTTCAGTTGTAAATCACTTTGACATTGGTGGAAAATAAGGATTTTTTGTTACCTGTAAAAAGGAATTTTTGTGATACGGGGGGGGGGGGGGGAAAGATGTTTTAAAAATATTTTCCGTTTTTCATTGATTTCTATAGTGAACAAGAGGCCCAGGGGCCACAGCGCTCACCTGAGCATATCGGCTAGAAAAAAAGCACATATCAGATCAGAACTGAAAGTTTACTAGGGGGGGGGGCTTGAATTTTAACCCCCAGGGGGTCATGATTTGAACAAATTAGAATCTACACTACCTGAAGATGATTCCATTTAAATAGAAAAATATCACTAATCATGGCTTTGAAGTACTTGAAAAGAAGATTTTAAAAGGTTTCCCTATATATTCCTATGTAAAACTTTGGTCGGCCATTTTGGCCCCATCCTGGCCCCACGGGTCATGATTTGTTGAATCTACACTACCTGTGATTCCATATGACCTTTCCTGGTCCAGTGGTTCTTGACCATTAATTTTTCTCTAATTCATAATTACCTCCCCTTGGAAAAGGGCGTGGCCCTTCATTTGAACAAACTTCCCCTTATATTTGTAGCAAGTTTGGTTGAATTTCATTGTGAAATAAAATTGTTTTGATCAGAAAAGATTTAGACTTTAATAATTTTAGTATCTCTCTTTGTTTTCCCAAAATAGATTTAAATCATAAAAATATTAAAAATTCATGTTAACTAAAATTGACTTGGAGGTAGGCCATGCCAGTTTCAATTTAAATATAAAACATAAATGTACATGACACACTTGATATCGCAAGTACAATCATGTAATAGAAACAAACACAAAGGCATATATTACCACTGCTTGAAGACAATTATTTTCACGCTTCGTAGATTTTACATGCATTTCTGTGATTTGGCCTCCGTTTAAACACTTTCTCTTGCGAATCCATGACAAACAATCAAAACTAGTGCTAGACAGATGCGCACGGTGCCATATTCCCTGTAAGCTTCATTAAATAAGACAAACTCAATACATTTGTATTTACCCAGAAGTGTACCTTCATTCAAATTTTAGCATTGCACGCATGCGCATGTGAATGCATGTGCGTAATGACCATATCATCTTGTCTACACAATCTATATATTTTAATATACTATTTTATTAAAGTATTTACGCCAAAAGAATTAACAATTACGCTCGTTCAAGTGTATTTTTGATTTTACTCATTTCACGAAATAAACTACCCCTAACTTTCAAAGAGTTATCACAGAGAAAAAAATTAGAAATGGAAATATTCATGCATCAATAACCAAGGGAGTCTTTAAAGTTTAAGCCAATCAGATATATTACCATATATCATATTGTAGGATATCTGCAAGTTTTTCAAAGGATTTTGTCAAATAACAAGTATATTGACTTGAAGACAATTATTTTCACGCTCCGTACAAATTCAAAAGATTACACTGTATGTTCCAACTTTCTGTGAAGCTTTGAAATACACAGCCTGCAAGGTTTATATACTTTCTCTTGAACCCAAGAATCCATTAGGTACAAACAATCAAAATAAGGTTGTACACAGGGCATCTGGACACTGTTCACAAATAATGGACAACGAGTTCTGGACGAGCACTACCCGTTTTAGTTAAATCACCGGTGAGTATAATTATTCGGACCGGAAGTCTCATTTAGAAAATTACTGTGTCTCTAATTGCACCAACCAGGGCTCCACACCCCATTATAACGTTTTGGATTCGATCGCGGATCTTTGCTTTTAGTTTGTTGAGGCACAGCTTTTCTTTGGTATCGCTCTAACCGTTTTCTCATTTTCTGCACCAGCATTGGTTTGTACCCAGCTATATTTCTTCTTTCTGATGGATCATCTGCAAAATAATGACAACTTTACATTAAATAGACCATACTGATATTAATGCTGTGTGTATGTTTTGAAATCCGAGAATGTTCATAGGTGGGACGTAGTCAAAAATGTAGAAGTTTTGTAGAATTAAGTTTTGCTATGAATCATCTAATACTTCTTTTGACTGACATTATAGTCTCAAATTTGATGGTTCGTAAACTTCACGGAGAAGGGAGCATATAAATCAAATACCAAAATGGAGCTATAATCTGATTCGACCCCATCTTGTGTTTCAATATAATTCAAACAATGCATCCAAGCCATACGCACACCATAATGAACAAACAAATAATTATCAATGTGAGTAATGATAGTTTATGCTGTATTCAGCTTACCTTTGATATTATATAGAAGGTATTTCGGGAAAATCCATTTTGTTTTGTCCTGTTTTTTTAACTTCTGACAACGCTGTAGCTGCCTATATCTATGCCATTTTCTCACCATATCAAACCCTGGAATTTTGGCAGTCAACCAGCGAACATATCCTGAAAATAGTATTGGTGTATGTATACATGTATACGTAGATCAGAGTAAAAAAGATCAGTAAGGACTGTAATTATATAAAGAATGAGGGAGCTTCTTTGGATTCAGTACAAATCTATACACACTTGTAAGGTGCGAAACTTGATATTTAGCATTATATTGATGGATCAGGATGTTGATTCTGTTGCAGAGAACTCAAAAGCAATTTATTCAGAGTTTAATTTGCACTTAAATGTAACTATTAAAGCCCTATTTCAATATTACATACATTACATTTGACTTTTACTTCAATGTAATGCAACGTTTCCTTCATGCCTAGCTTTCTTTTTGGTCTGTCCAGCTGGGGTCAGCCGACCAAATCGTCTGTTTAACTTTAACATTTTACATCCATCTTCTACATTTCTACAATGGCTGATGGACCAGTTAAGTATTTTTCATACAAAACGCCACGACATTAGGATATCAAGGATGACCACTGACCAGGTGAAATTCGATGAACTTTTGGGTACATTAAACGTGTTGTGTTTTATTCACATATTGCTTTGATTTCAGGTTTTGGTAAACTTTAGGGTTACTACAACATAGACTGTTTCTTACACCCGTGAGTCAGACCACCAACTTTGATTACCGACACGACTATTTATTTTAATTATCCTGTGAGGGTGAGTGGCCGTTCCTCAAATGATATCTATTATCACACTTTGCTCATGATCCGATCATCTTATCTGTCATTGAATGAACATACACAGGGTATACATACTCTTCCTAATACCCTTGCGAGCATTGCCTGTTTTATTTAAACAATAATTTTACGTCATTTTGATTACAAAGTCGCTTGTCCTCTGAAGGACAACAGGGAATAGAGATCCTAGAAATGTAAATACCAATTACAAATCTGTCTCCCGCGCGGCGCAGTGGTTAGAGTGTCTGCTCTACGCCGCGGGTTCGAATCCCACTGTGGGAGGTGGAGACCAGTCCTTCGGATGAAACCGTATAAACCGAGGTCCCGTGTCGCCGTAGGTGCTGGCTCGATAAAGATCCCTCACTTCTCAATGGCCCTGAGTGTCGAGTACAGGACAAAATGTAGCTCCACCGGCAAGAGGTGGCGTCTCCATATGAGTGAAAAATTATCGTGAGGGACGTTACACAATATACAATCATTAATAACATGGCCAAGATGAATTTTAATATTACCTTTAGCATTTCTGACCATTCTATTTAGTGATTCGTATATAAATATATCTTGGTCACTGTCTGTTTCATATTCGTCATAGATTGGACAAAAGCTATCGGTCGCTGCCACTCGGTACCAACTATTGTAGTCCCCAGGGGTACCGACTATTAGTTTGTAGTCTCCCATTCTGTAAGGAAACGACAGAGTTGTTAGTTTTATAAAAAATTTGATACGTCGACTTTGTACATTACTATGACTTTACAACATCCCTCATATTTTTAAAATGTTTTTTCTTTGTTGAAAAAGATGTTTTATGGAATACCGGCTGCTTTTATTTAAAAAAAAAGTTTGCAACACGTGAAAAAAGAGGGATACGTGTACGTAGTTTTACCTTATGCCGTATGAATGTCGTGATTTGTCAATGTCGTAGATGAACTCCGTCCTCCGCGATGGTTTACAAGATCTTATCATCGGCCATTGATTTATACCATCGATCTGTTTTTCTAAAAAAAAGTAACATTTCAGATAAGAAATGACATCAACTTTCAAAGGAATAGAAATAAAAAATTCATCAAACTTAAGATGTAATTGCTAGTAAACCTAATTTTGGTCTTCCTCCTGCCGCTGCTAAAAGGGTAGGGAACCAGTCAGTTGAGTGGAATAATCTAAAACATAAAGCAATTTAGAGTCAGAAACAACATTTAAAAAGATGTCGTTGCATGAAATAAAATATAGTAGTTATCACATGTGTTACACAAACTTAAGAAAACATGCATTGATGGAATTTATTAGCCTTTGGAAAGATAAATTAGGTGGTTATAACTTTTGTACCCCTCATGAACGTATCCTTTCCTTTTCAGGAGGTTCTTGCTATACACGAAGGACACAGCTCTTGTTCCACCCTCCCATAAGGTCGTCTTAGATCCACGGAGGGGGAAATTGTTCCCAACAATATGAGCTGCCCCACCATTCTAGTCAAGAAAACAAATAAGATTTAATTTATAAAGGAAAGCATACAATGTACTAAAAGGAAACAGAATACAGTACATCGAAATGAACATTCAGTTAAGTAACTTTAAAATGGGCTTTTAAAAATGTTCAAGCACCTCTACTTAGTACTTACATCAGTTGTGAAGACTACCACTAGGTTCCCCAGAAATTTGTGTTTTTTGAAGGCCGCCATTACAGCCCCAACTGCGTCGTCCATTGCTGTTACCATGCCTACAAGCACCACGATAAGATTTGTTACATTTTATTTAATATCTTACTCTGATTTTGATTTCAATCAATTTAAAACTGAATGTTCCTTTTTTACATCAGTTATTAAAATGTATCAACTTCAAATTAAAACAAAATTATTATCAAAATGATTTTTTTATAAACCTTAAGCACGAACCAGAAAATATTTTCCTGTCTTTGTTTTTCAGAAGATGGTATCTTTTTTCATACTTCTTTGGTACCTGAAAAATTATGGTGTATCTTAAGTTAAAAACAAAGTAATTTCTGAAAAAACGCATGTTTATCTCCACACTAAATAGTTGGTCATGGGCAAAAAAAACCTGACATGATAACCGAGGGTTCAGTAGCTTGATTTTCCCTATTTCTCATCATTACCCTGCGTTGTATTAAATTATACCTGTAATGGAGTGTGAACCGACTGGAAAGCCAGGTACAGAAACAGCGGGTTCTTATTCTTCTTGTGTTCTTTTATAATGTCCACAGCCCTTTTGGCGTACGTTTTCTTAGGAATGAAGAAAAAATATCACAGCTAAAAATGTAAATGACGTCATGAAAAGTAATATTCGGACAGTGAGTCGAATTTGAAAAGGATCCGTGAGAAAAACCAAGTTTATGTTTAATTTGATGGAGAAACGTTCTTAACTCTGCAGGATTTAAAACCATTGAAATGTAACCTCGATGTCTAACCTCTCTTATAAAATTATGATTGCGCCTTACGTAAACAGCGATTAAAACAGATTTCATGTTATCTATGCTACCGTTTAGATGTTTTTGAAATTCTTATCATACATATGTAACCAATATAAGAAATAAAATTATATGTCTAATTTATAGCCGAAATATGTTGTTAAATTATTTGTTCCTTCATACTTTCCATTTAATTGCAGGCAATGTTCATGTAAATTACATAACCGTGACTGTCAAATGGGCAATTTGAAATAAACATTTTTTTCCTTACCTGGTGCACCCTTTTCTCTTTCAGCTAGTTTTTAATGGTCGGGTTTGTATTTATAATTGTTTCTTTTTATAATAATTCGAAACCCATGGAATGTCGGTACGTAAGTTATAATGATTTGAAAGAGTGAAAACTTCACATGCTTATTTTACTGCTTAGGTATAGACAATGCTACATTTGTATGGTCTGAGAGAAACTAAAGAATGTTTCATTTCGAATGATTTCATCACCAAAATGTAATTATTTTTCTTTAATTGGAATGGAAAAGTGATTTTGAAAAAAAGTTCATGCTTACTGTGGAATATTGCTTTTTAGGTGGATAAAACACTGTCTTATTAAACCGGAAGTCGTATCCTCCAACTAAAATAATCAGAAAAGGGTAAGAATTCTGTTAAATTCATATACTCTAGGCATCGTAAACCTTTAATGTTTCATACATGTAACTGTTTCGCCAATAAACAAACATAAAAATGTTCATTTATTTCAGATTTATGTAATCTTGTTGACTTTGGTATATAGGAGATTTCAGAGCAACATGAATCCAAATTTGATTGATTTATTGATGTTAAAAGTAAACCCAACCGTTGGTGTGTTTGTAGTAGTCCTGAGCGCCTGCATAGAACCCTAAAAATGAATCAAATCCACGCCGAGTCGGTGTGTACTTCTCGTTACAAAACCCCAAGTGCCATCTGCAAAAAATAATTGCAATAAACATTTATAGGACCTTAACTGATCACAATTTATGTTTTACAGAACTCTTCTGCTGGTTCTGATAATATCTGTATTATAAGAATTTTAAAACTTGTAATTCAGTCGTTTTTGATTTACATACTTTCCAATCATATGCGTGGAGTAACCTAGTTTCTTGAGTTTTTCTGGGAGAGTTGGTGTATCTAGAGACATAAAGCGTGGTTGGCGAGGATCTATTGCAGAACCCTGAAAAAACAAGAAAAAGTATCCTTTAAACCCTTTCGAAATGTTTGAGAGTGTTAATGATATGTCACCATTTGAAACAGAAAGTCCCTCCAAACAATATTTTATGTTTCAAAGTACAGTGTACATCTGATGTTACCAAAGCTTTCTATAGAAATCAAAGTTTTTTTTTATCCTTTCACTCTGATCTTTAAGTTGGACTTGTGAAACAATTTAACCTAAGACATAACTTTTGAATGTTTGGTAATAAAGGGCTTTCATTAACCAAAGATATATATTCCTCGGAACAAAAAAAAATCATCGAGTATCTTTTTATCTTTTACTTTATTTGAAAATACATTAACCTAGCCAAAAACTTTTGAACTTTTGGTGCAAGAAATTTGATACTTCATTTACTTAATTCCTGTGACAATTTCTTTCCTTCGGTATCAATATGATCCTAATCTTTGAGTACGACCCACTTTTGAAAAACTTTAACCTTAGCCATATTTTCTAAGTGGTTGGTGCTCAGACTTTCATATTTTTTTCTCATTTGTTTTCCATTTGACAAGACCTTCCTTTGGGTACCAACATTTTGAACTCTTCCTTGATTTTGGAGTCTGACAACAATTGAAAAACGTTAACCTTCGGCCTGAGGTACCATTGCAGAAGGCAGTAGTGTTTCATAAACATATCTTGTTTAGTAGATTTTCTCATCAGTGGATTTTAAATATGTTGTTTTTCTCCTTCAATGTTCAGATACGATGAGAAGATGCTAGAAAATTTTTAAGCTACAGTCGACATACTGCCTAATAACTAGTAAATCTAAGTACAGAAAGGTTATAGCGAACATCGCCAAAAATTTCATTACAAAGTTTGTTTCAACAATTAAAGGTGAAAAGCTTTCGAGTGACACGTGACACCTGTATATTTTACCCTCTGTGCTGTCAGCATCAGCAAATAAAGTAAAGGAAAAGCTTATTTGTCAAAACAAGATCAAACTTACCGATAAGCCAACTCTAAAAGGGTAGACACCGGTCAGAAAACTGTTCCTTGATCTGAAAAGTAAGTGAGCTGACTGTTGATGTTCACAATTAAGATCGGAGAATGTTTCAGATTCTATTAAATAAGTAAATGATACACTTTGTTTTCCTTCATATTATTTTAATCAAACTCTACATTTTTTCTTGTTTTTTTCCTCCTGGGAGCTTTGGGAGTTTCAATTTAAGCTTTCAGAAGTATATTGAAATGGGTGTGAATTTCCTTCTATATACAGTCGTTTGGCCAGTTCCGAATAAGAAACCGATTCGGCGGTGCTATAAATATACTAGGCATTATTTTAAAATCTAAGTGTTTTGTCAAGGTAGTTCGTTGACTTGTGGAATTAAATATTACTTACGGTGTACATATTGGGTGAACGTAAGAGGAGTTTAATATCACCCCGGCGTGCGCCATTTTGTCCAAATTTGGTGTATAGATATCCGGATTATGCCATCCAACATCATTCCAACCTTAATAAGAATGAACAGATGTATGAAATACTCTGGACATATTCAATTTTAGTTTACTAACAAGATACAAATGGGATACTTTTAAATTAAGTTAAATTTAAATTTTTATAAGTGTAATATTAATATGTATCTCAAGAAGCAGGAAGACATTTGGTCATTCAGTGTGATAAATACCAGTTTAAAACATTTTTTAGCAACATTTCATTGAAAATAGGAATTCCATTAAATGCAAGAACCTTATCGAAAGTTATCTCTGGTAGCATTGCTGTAGCTAGGTGGTGCATCTTTTATGGTTACAGTTAGAATTTAATACGATCAGATACCACACAGATGTGTAAGTTCTAAAGTAAAATACGCTATACAATGTATCTTAATTGATGATTTTACAGTTTTAAAAATATAATGTATATTTCAGAATTTCCTCAACGAATTTCTCTCAGAGCGACATCGCATTATTTTACTTCAAAACATAAAATTCTCTGTGTACAAATCTGTTTCGATACAGTATGCGATGAGGTTCTACCTACACCTGCTGGCCTGGTTTTAAGCCTATCTTATGGTGTGGATTTCCATTAATGTGGCGATAAACTCTAAATAGCGAGGTCAAATCGAGTCGTTAAGTCAAAATTTCTAGGTCAAACGGCGCAAAAACGAGGTCAGTTAAAATATTTACTATGCGATCGTATGATTGGAAACTAAAGGTATTTGACCTGAAAAAAGTTTCTGTTTATTAAGGCATTAGGAGAGGTGTACTTTGGCAGCATGTATTTAAATTATGTCAGATGATTGTATATGGTCGGGGCTTATGTATGAAAAGTTAGTCACCTCAGGTAGTGTCGACGACCTTAATTTAATTCTCTCGAAAATATTTTTGAACAAATCCTTTTCTTCAGTTGCTTATGACTAGTAGAACAGCTAGGATTTATTTTCACGTAATGTTAAAGCTTATTGTTTTAGACTGGTTAAATGACATGCTGGATGACATATAGTGGCATGTGTTGTTCCTATCTCTAATACAGTGTACATGAAGAATATAGAATTAAGAATGGATTAATGAGCATGATAGAATTTTCCTTAGACTTAGTTTTTTAAAACCAAACGATTTTTCGACATTCTTTTTCAAAAATACAATAGAAAAGGTCAATTAAGTACACGATGTGACCGTGTGGTATATATCTATGACCTTATGTATTTACAGAACATACTTACTTATCAACAATACCCTTTTCACACGAGAATGATATCATTGAAGTAAAGATAATTCAAAGTAAACAAACAGAACTGATTTACAAGTAGCTTGCATAACAGCTAAATCTAATAACGCAACAGAGATCTCCAATGATTAAGCAGGATTACGATGAAAGGAACTTTTTTATGGTTAAATGTTTGGACATAGTAATTATAAAAGCTTCGGTAAAAATTAAACTTCAACCCTAAATAAAAAGATAATTATCAAACTACATACAACTAACATATAATTTTATAAAATGAATAAAAACTTGATGGAGAACATTACTTAAATGATGTGCATCACAGACATGAATATTACATACCCAAATCGTCTGCAACAATGAAGAGTATGTGTGGCTTTTTGGCGCCCTCCAAAACAGGAAATAGTAGACAGAAGACAACGAAGGTACCACGAAGCATCCTTTGATTTTTTTCTAACGTATTCTTCGGCAAAGTTAATGAAATCAAACTGTCAAGGGACACTTCTTCTCTGGAAGAAACTTAATTCGAAGGACCATCTTCTTGATTCCATTTTTATGTCTATTCAATATTCACGGTCAACTGAATTTCGTATATCACGCGAAACGTTCAGAGAACCAATGGAAAATCACTTTGGAAACGGTTATGAAGAAGAAACTTGCAGATGAGTAGTGACAATGCAAGTCCTCAATCGTAGTAACGCTAGGAGTTTTATCACGTTTATCAAATGAACCCTCTCTTCTTAACGCTCAATACAGAACTGGTGACTCAACACACCAACGAAGAAAATTTTAAATCATGCTGTATACCCTTCTGATCAGGTGTTCTCAATAAAAAAAGCAGTCTTTATTGCTCTTTTGACCCAACTTTTGAGAATCTATGAGAAGAAAAAAAGACTTACTAACATTTTAAAATGAAAAATCAATAAACATTGTGCTTTTTTTTTAAAATATGTGTTGTTTTGACAGGTCATGGGAAAGGCATTTGTACTGGTTTTTTGACAGTTTAAATGCATGGACTTTGAACCTTGGAAGAGACTGCATGTTGTGAAACTTAACAAGAATGAAGTGTCAAGTATCGACCGCATTTTTGTTCGCTCATTTTGTGTATTTTTTTCATATTGGTAAACAACCCAGTGTGTTGTTGTAAATCAAAATAAAATGAAGTAAACAAGTATTTACGAATTTTCAAATTAAAATGTAATTTGAAAAATATTTTTTGTTGTTCTGAAAACATAAACATTTTCCTCAACATCTGATAAAGTTACACTGATAAACGAACATTCCCACTCCTGTTCATGTTAAAATTTTGAAGAAAGATTTATTTTAGAAAGTGAAAGTAGGTTTTTCATGCACGCTTCCAAGTCAGAATTTAATCTATATTCTAAAAAAATCACTTCTTAAATACTTTGAATACAGAAACTAAGTCAATCACTTGTTATACTAGTAAATTAAATCATGAAGAAACTCACAAAAAATCACTTTTTTCACACATTTCTATGAAAATAATTTCCAACTGACGTGCAGATTAAAATGCCTTACACTGGAGCCCGGTAAATTATTAAACTAAGAAAAATTAAGAGGTCCACAGGCAATACATTCACCCTCCTCCTTTTCTCTTAAGGTAATTCCACCCTCCTATGATGTCATAGGTTTTTGCAAAAACTGTCATTAAATTTAATTCATACCCAATAGAACAATATATTTTGGAAGAATGTTTTTCCATAAGTGTAATGAAAAACATTGTTAAGTAAAAGGATTTTTAAAAATTTATACTTTATTCAATCAATTATTCAATCTTTTAAAAGAACGTTGACAAGGGCAATAACTCCTGCTCAGATGGCTTCATTTAGGGATTTTCTTTATTGTACTTCTAATGTAATACAGTTTACAATTCAAAAGTATCTTATATGTATCAAGTATATAAGAACTTTCAGCATCAGAATTATGAATTTTAATCTGTTTTTACGTAATATATATGATACCGTTACAAAAAAATGTACGATTTTTTAAGTTGACATATATGCTTCTGTTTATTTGCGTCTCCCATCTTAAATAATATGGCGACCTATACATTTTTGGCAATAATTGGTAAATTTAAGCTTTATTGAATGAAAATAAATTCAATTTTTGTACTTTAAACCATTAAGATTGTGAGGGTGAAAAGACCTTAAAACGTTTTGAATCATGTGGCTCCACCCTCACCCAAAAGAGTCAAGACGTCAGCAAACTAAATGAATGTAGTAAAAATCTTCTTTTAGTCATATTCACTGAAGCTACACAACATGGAAATGTCAAAAAGCGGGATAAATAACATTCCCTTGTCATTTTACCTGATGGAAGTAAATACAAAATTGATTGTTCTAAAGAAGATTCTTTATACTTGTGATATGTAAAATTTGATCCCTAAATTTCAACTCCATGTACCCTAAAAGTAGAATATATAGGACAACAAAGAATTTTGGCCCCCCGTTTTCAGTGTCTTTGTGGTTGGGATGTCATTTTTTATGACATACTGTGTCAAATACTAGTTTGAAAGCCCTTAAGCCTATCATATGTCATTTAAAAATTATCACTGAAGTTGATTTAAAAAAAAAAATAAGGTCATTCGTGAAGGTAAAGGGATCAGAAATCATAGCATGCTCGAAAATATCTTGTCACAGGAAATGCGGATGTCAAATATGAAAGCCCATCTCTTCTCAATAAGGGAACAAGATGCGTTTGTGAAACACTGATGACCCCGTACGGCAAAATAACGAAGATTAAACTTTTCTTAAATGCAAATAAAATGTATTATTACCCAAAGTATGGTTTTCTCACACGAAATACAATTGTGAAATACGAAATCTCTAGCACCACCTGTTCAAAAGCTATGGCAAAGGATAATTTTTTAAATGATAGGACAAACCCCAAGGTCAAAGTTGTTGGTTTCTTAAGAAAGGTCTTGTCACAAGGATTACAAATGTGAAAGATCTAAACCCTAACCGTTCAAAAATTATGGCCAAGGTAATTTTTTAAGTAGGTCAAACTCCGAGGTCAAGGTCATTCTTGATATCTAATGAAAGTTCCTGTCACAAGAATTAAATATGTGAAATATGAAAGCCTTAGGCCTAACCCTTCAAAAGGTATTGTCAAGGTTTGTTTTTTAAAAGTAATTTCAACTCAAGGTCAAGGTCAAAGGGTCAAAGTTTTTGGAATCCAATAAAATGTGTTCTTACAAGGATTAGATATGTGAAGTATGAAAGACATAGCCCTTACCATTCAAAAGTTATGGCCAAGGTTAAAGTTTTTTTTCACAAGTATGAAAATATCCAAGGTCAGGGTCAAAAGGTCATCGTTCTTGGTATCCAATGAAAGGTCTTGCCACAAACAATACATAGGTGAAATATAAAATTCCTAGTATCTATCATTCAAAAGTTATGGCCAAAATAAAAGTTTGGAATTTTTGTGTAAAAGTGGGTCAAACTCCAAGGTCAAGAACAAAAGGTCAAATTTGGTGATACTCAAAGAAAGGTTTTATCATAAGGAATACACATGTGAAATATGAAAGTCATAGCTCCATTTTAATCAAAGGTTATGGACAAGGTTAATGTTTTTGTGACGGACTGACAGACTGACGGACACACGAATGAGATTTAATGTCCCCTCGCTTTCGCAAAAGCGGGGGGCAATAACGTCTCATATCAAAATTTTCTAATTTGCCTTTTATTCATTAAAATATTATATGTTCTTTAAATTTCCTGTATTTCCAGGTTATGCTTTGAATCACTGTTTTAGCACCACCAAACCTCATAGGTTACAGTTTGAACAAATATTTATTTGAACTACATTAGGATACCTGAACATATTATTTATTATGGTCTTGAACAGATTTAAGGTCACCCGAGTCATTCAGTTAACATAAGTATTATCGTCATCGACCATTGTCTTAAACCTTTGAATATGTTCAACTTTTATAAAATGGCTGGACACAATTCGACCAACTTTAGAATTTATGACACCTATAATAAATTAATGCCAAGTTGTTGTCTTTTGGATCTGAGGGATTCCAGATTAAACACTTAGTCAAATACACATATACTAAGTATTTAAGAAGAAATCCATGCCCAGAACCAGGGCTGAAACACCACATTTTGGCTAAGTTGATCATATTTTGAAAAATATAAATACATTTAAAGTTTTTTAAAAAAATTAATTAATCAACTTGTAGCAGGCATATTCCATGCATTATTAGAACGAGTTCTACGCCGTTTTCAAAAGCTGTTATCATTTTTTTTTCTTATTTCTGGTTAAAAAACAAAATCAAAAATTTATTGGACATCTGTAGGACACCCTAAATCATCTTCCTAAAGATGAAACTGTAGCAAAAAACCAATATTTAAATATTAAAAAGTAAAGAAAGTAAAATTAATCTACCTTAAAAAAAGTTTCGAATAATCTGTCTTTTCATATTTGGTAGCCCGCAGACTTAAAAACGTAAGAAGCAAATTCAAAGAATTGTGGTCCCCCCGCTTTAGGTGTCTTTGTCGGTGACATATTGTGTCAAATACGAACGGTCTATCATATGTCATTTAGAAATCATAATCAAAGCTGATTTTCTAAAAAAAAAAAATAAGGTCAATCGTGAAGGTCAAGGGGTTGGAAATCATAGCAAGCTCGGAAATGTCTTGTCACATGTAATGCACATGTCAAAAATATGAATGCTATATCTCTTCTCAATCAAAAGTTATAAGGAACAAAATGTCTTTGTGAAACACTGATGCCCCTGTATGGCAACATAGCGAAGATTTAAACTTTTCTTAAATGCAAATTAAATATATTGGTACCCAAAGTAGGGTCTTTTCACAAGAAATACGACTAGGAAATATAAAAGCCCTAGCACCATCTGTTCAAATGTTATGGTCAAGGAGAAGTTTTTGAAAGGTAGGTCAAACTCCAAGGTCAAAGGATCAAAGTTATTGGCTTCTGAAGAAAGGTCATGTCGCATGTATTACATATATTAAAGATGAAAGCCCTAGTCCTAATCGTTCAAAAGTTATGGCCAAAATTAAAGTTTCTAAAAAGTAGGTCAAATTCCGTTTAAAAGTTATGACCAAAGAAAAGTTTGGAATTTTTTAGTAAAAGTGGGTCAAACTCCAAGGTCAAATTTGGTGGTACCCAAAAACGTCTTGTGACTCTTGTCACAAGCAATGCACATGTGAAATTTGAAAGTCATAGCTCCACTGAATCAAAAGTTATGGGCCAGGTTAATGTTTTTGTGACGGACGGACAGACTGACAGACGAATGAGATTTATTAATGTCAATTGATATTAAAACTCAAAGCATCAATCTTTGTTTTGTTTTTGCTAATATGTATATGGTCTATATAAAGAGATTTTGAAATTGTTCATATTATTTACTTCAGAAATCATAATTTACCGTCAGTTAAATATTTTACCTTACACTAGCACGAATATATTTAACACTATTTTTGTTTGATAATTTGAAAATATCTTATTGTTTAATTACAAGGTCTGAAAACGTATTACGCTCTTTCCCTACATGTAAATTACACATTTGAATTGATACAGTTAAGCATGAATTTTAAAAGTTTAAAGTATTTGCAAACGTTAACAAATCGACATACAAATGCATATAATTTTGTACAAATGCGTACATTGGTACACTAATTAACAGGAAATCTACCAGAATGCTTAATATATGTTTAAAAAAATAAAAGAGACGTTCATGATCTGCAGCATTCAATAAATCTAACCCAACCCAACCCCAACCCCCACCCCTCCTTATATAGAATGTGAATTTTGTCAAATTGGAAAAAAAAAGAATATCGTAAAATTCTTATCTGGCTTTCACATACTTTGGACATACAAAAAATAATGATATGTATCCTCAACTTTACTACTAGAGCACAAAA